CAACTACAGTCTTTAAAGTATGGCTTAGATCACGTCTCCGCATGGTCGTCGAATAATGGACTCCTACTCAACAATCAGAAATCGGTACAGTGTGTGTTTCGATTGCGAGCCTCTCCCATTCCTGAACCTTTGGATATTCTTCCCAATGAGGTATCCTCTTTCCGGTACCTAGGTGTTACTTTGTCCTCATATCTTTCTTTCTCTCTTCATATGGAAACCCTTTTAACAAAAATTTCGAAACTTGTTTATTACATTCGTCGTCTGCTTTCATATCATACACCCCAGTCCTTAATCTGGCGATTCATAGATGGCTGTATTCTTCTACTCATTCTTTATTGTTCTCCAGTTATTTTTCCAGCTTTACTTAAAAAAAGATCTAATTATTTTTAAAGGTGTCATTCGAATGCTCGCCTCTGCTGCTGGTGTTTCCTATCATATTTTAGTTGATATCATCGTGCAGCGACACTTCAATACGGTGGGGCAATTTGATGACCGAATTCTGAATGACACCGTCCATCCCCTTCATAATGAGTTAATGGCTGCGAAATCCTTACGCCCCATGCGTCGATGCGTCCGCCACATCCCTCGTCGCAATTCGGCTTATCAGAATTCCATACTGCCATTTTAGCCCGGTATCTCACCTGCAAAGATGCTGAAAAACAAAAGCTAATACTCGAATTTGCAACTTAAAGTCCTTTTTTTCATATATAATTATGTCCACCTGTCCAATACCTGTTAATATCTATGGTAATCACTGTGTACTGGAGAACCGTTTTTTGCTGAAAGTGTTGAATGTTATATTCAAAATAAAGCATTCCTCTCTCTCTCAAAGCTCGGTCTTGTGACATCTGTCAACTCGCTTTCTTTGACTATGTTCTCCAATCTAGGAACAATGGTTTTGCACTTTACACCGTATATTTCGATTTCACTTAGGCTTTTGACCGTGTTGACCATGCTCTTCTTCTCTTGAAACTGTCCTCTTTCGGAATAGGTGGCAAACTTTTGAATTTTATATCCTCTTACTTGGGCACTCGTACACAACGAGTTAAGATTTCCAATATTATCTCCAACCCCACACGTGTGAGGAGTGGAGTCATTCAGGGTAGCGTACTAGGCCCACTTTTATTTTGCCTTTTCGTTAATGATGTACCCGATTTATTTCACAATGGCAAGCCTTTCATGTATGCCGAGGATCTTAAAGTTGCATATCGATATAAGCCGGCAGAACGTGACATCGTGCTTGAGCTCTTAAAGAGCGATCTACAGGCTTTCGCCCAGTGGTGCCGCACATGGCGCCTTTCTCTTTCTTGGCATAAGTGCTCAGTCATGGTGGTTGGCGACGACCACCAACCTCAACTAAGTATTGAAGGTCACTCCATAAATGTGCCCGGGGTTATTAAGGATCTGGGCATATCATACTCCAAGAGTCTCAATCTCTCGGAGCACTGTGCCTTGATAGTCTCCAAAGCACGTAGAACGACCGGGTTTATCCTCCGAAACTTCAAAACTAAGGACATCAGAATGCGCCTTTTCAACATGTACGTTAGACCTGGTCTTGAATACTGCTCGTTTTTATTTAGCCTCATGCGCGCTACTGAGCGGAAGGAAATAGAATCCGTTCAACACTTTTTTACCAAGAGAGTTTTAACCCCAGAACACTGGCATTTGTCTTACCAAGAACGTTGCCGGCTTATAGGGATTATTTTTGCTATTTAAGCTCTTATATAATCACACATTTAACCCACTCACCTCTTTAAGGCATCATATCCACCCAGGAAGTAACAGTCACCGTGAGGTCTTTTTATTTCTTCCTCTGGCAGGTGCTGTTAAATATCGTCGGTTCTATTCTGTAAAAGCAATTGCTATTTGGAATAAACTACCCATGAGTGTGAAAACTCTGCAAAATTATCCTTCATTTGAGAGAACTATTACTCGATTTTTTGCACTCAGAAAAGCTCCCACAAATTTTGGGGGCTGAATCCACTGATCGACTCTACCGTAGCGATAGCGTTTGTGGTTTCTGAACACTATGGCCGGGCTCACCAAGGACAATTTCTTTAATCAACAGCGACAGCTGTTCTTCGGCGCCTATATTGTGACTATCCTTAACCTCATGAAAGGAATACGCGTCTGATAATCTCTATTAGCGTGCAACCCCTCCCTTCTTAACGGTCGATAGTTGGTGAAAAGCCCCCACAAATTTTGGGTGCTGAAACCTCTGATCGACTCTTCCGTAGCGATGACGTTTGTGGTCTCTGACCGCTATGGCCAATTTCATCAGAGAAAATGTCTTTGGCCAACAGCGACAGATGTTCTTCGGCACTTCTGTTTGGACTAGCACCAACTTCATGAAAGTAATTGGTGACTGATATTATCCGATACCGTGCAGCCCCTCCCTTCTTGACTGTCGAAATTTTGCTGCCAGCAGTTTGTTTTCTCCTGGACCCTTCAGACCATAAAAATCACCATCAACCATATTTTTATTCATTTCCCACAGGAGTATTATTTTCACTGTTGGCTGGATTTGTGTTTAACGCTTCCCTGACAATGCCTGTAAACTGACATTAAATAAAATTGTTATTAATATAAGTGATTCTAGTCGACAAGACTAGAAAGGCTTGATTTTTTCCCCCCTTATAAGCAACGCAGAAGGGATATGTCATGACTTTTAAACTTCTCAGAGGAGAAGATTGTGCAACTCGATCGGCCGATTCTTTTGAACTGTCACCAACGACAAATCTCCGAGTTCACCAAAACAAATTGCAGACCAAGTACGCCAAACTTGAAGTACGGGCCGGCTTCAAATTCCGCCGGGCCACTGAAGAATGGAAGAAACTGCCCAATTCGGTTATTCTGGCGGAGGGCGCTCAAATATTTAAAAGAAGGCTTGAAGTGTTTTACTTGATGGTCACCTATTTAATTGGCAAGGCCTGGCATATTTTACCCTTATAGCTGTGTAATTATATGCATGTTTTTCAGCGTATGTTTGTAAATAACAATTTCAAACATTGTCTGCCTATGTTACATGGGTTGAATTATGTCCATAAAAGACTGAAACAGCACAGTTTGGTTCCATATCATTCGGCGGTTAACAAACAACCTCATCTGGAGATTCCGCATCATCTATGTCCATGAGTGTTCTCTCAAACCTGGTGCATTTATTTGAAATTACCATCGTAAGTTATCTCGCTTTCCTCCGCACAAGTGGATCACGAATGAATGGATGCAGGAATTCAAGGAAGAAAGTTTAAATGGATCAGGAGTTTTCTGTCCTCCAGAGTACCAAGAGTCGTCGTGGGTAACTCTACGTCGGGATGGACAAAGGTGGAAAGTGGTGTCCCACAGGGTTCTGTTTTAGGCCCAGTACTCTTCCTGATTTATGTTAATGACTGCATCAGCGAAGTGAATTGCGAGACCCTCATGTTCCCGGATGACATAAAAATATGGAGGGAAGTCAAGTGCGATGATGACGCAGAGAAGTTGCAGTCGAACCTCGACAAACTGTGTGCTTGGTCGAAAAGATGGTTTTTGAAGTTTAACGTGTCCAAATGCGTGGCCTTGCACCTCAACACCGGCCGCAATGCCTCTCACAAACACCAGTACTATACTGACGGGACGAGGTTAGAAACGGTGGAGAGACACAGGGATCTGGGTGCATGGAAGATCACAAATCTTCGAAAGGTTTTTGGTGTCTTTGTACGACCTCATCTGGAGTATGGAATGCCAGCAGCTTCACCATGGATGAAGAAGGATATCAGCTTACTAGAACAAGTGCAACGCAGGGCGACAAAGATGGTCGACGGTCTAAAGCATTTGTCTAACCAGGAGGGGCTGAATGTGCTGGGCATATTCGCTATCTCTTATAGACAGCTAAACTGAGCTCTACTCTGGAAATTCCGGATTGTCCGCGACTAAGGTTGCTCATTAAGAACAGATAAACTTTTTGAGTTTACCCGTACAAACCAACTACGCGGTCATGCCTACAGAGCCAATAATTAATGCTCGCCGTTAGACCATCGAAAGTTTTCATTCGGCCAGCGGTTTGTCCGACCGTGAAACTCGCTTCTAAGCGAGATGGTGACGGCTGACACAATTTGCAAGTTCAAAAGAAAACTTACTCGCCTAATTTCCGACAGAAATCGGCTTTTACAGCATGACTATCCACCACCAGTTTTTTAAAACATCGGCATATAAAATCCCTCCGCACTAACTTGCAGTGACCTGATGCACATCGTTATGATAACGATTAATCTCTGACCCGATCACATTGTAAATGCCTGCAATTTTATTTTGAATGCGAATCTATGAGATCACTGTACATAAATAGGGTCAGCAAGGGCGCTGCCTCTAACCCTCTAAATATATACATATATATACGAATCAACTAAAGTTTCCTTTCGGTCAGTGAGCAGTTTAACCCTAGAACTCATTCTGAAATAAATTCGCGATTTCTAACATAACGTTTTTGTCCAAAAACATGTCGGCTGCTTGATGTTTGTCAGGCGAAGACTTCCACGGCATTTATATCTACGGCTAGTTACGAAATTTGCTTCCTAATTACATTTCTTATGCATCTTATTCGCACACTTTTGGTGTAAAATGCCTCCTTGAAGAGAGCCATTTTTCGCGCCTACCGTGTATAATCGTGTTCATTATCTCAACTATGCATTTACAGAGTCAATAAGGACTAAGGACGCTACTCTCAAATTCATACACGCCTGAATGGGGATAAAGCACCGGTCTGAAATGTGTTAGAAGTACGCTAGACCTCCTCTAGTTATCGGTATTGACGGAAAGTCAGCTGATTTTTATCAAATCGACACAATTTTTTTCCGATGATTGGAGTACTGAATCTTCGTTGACTCGAGTACGTTTGAAATTAATGTCCACTCTCTCCCTTGTTTTAACATGGCACCGTTGCACGTGCGTAAGCAGGGCGGGCATGGCTGTCCGGGAGCAGTGCCTTGTGAGCCGTTTACTTGGCGGCTGGCAATGGGTGGATGGCTCAAAAATTGCTGAAGACGCTAGGTGACCACAGATGAACTCAAATACCAATGTTCGGTTAAGGTTGGGGGAGACCTAGGGGCAAAAATAAACTAGTATTTGCGCTGGGCGTCCAAATTCCCAACACCCCACTGGGAAGTTGGCAGCCAAACGTGTCCCACTGAGTGGAGCTGTACATGGCTGGGAAGACCTGCGAGCAACGAGTTTCGAAGGCAAGTTGTCATCTTTCATGATGTTATTATTGGATCGCACGCTGTCAGGATCCCAGTTTCTGGGTCTTGTCACGTGTATGTGCGAAAACATAGTTACTCTGATTAACCTACCTGTATTTGCACAGCGCCTGAACGTGTTGTCGTTTCCCCTCTAGATGTGTCTGCGGTCTACGTCCCGTGTTCTTATGGCTCTGTCGTCTCCGAGCGTTTGCGTCGCCTAAAGTGGTTCGTCTACATGATGAGCATTTTATTCATGCGGTTTTTTAGTTCCGGTTTCCGGTTCTTGCCTTAATGCATGACCTTATAGTTACTCTGACGTCCTAACAAGTATTTTAATTTTAGGATTTCGCAGCGCGCTCTGGCATGGGATCATTGCCTGCTCACCACTCCTTGAAAGCTGTATCCAGGACGTTTGGCGCTGATCAAGTGCCCATGTCGGACGAGAGGCCCGCCGACGACATTAACTTACATTCTGGTGTGATATTTTGTCGCTTTCCGCGCATTCTTATCAAGCTCTACTAAATTTTACTAGTCATCAACTTATATCTTCCATTAACTGCATTTCGGTCCGTCGGAGATGTCCTGTTTTTGTAGTCAAGGAAGCCCTCGGGGACTTAACGTGCATCGACCGGGTGCCGGGTTATATGATATCGGTGTTGCTCTGACTGTACGCAGCACCAAACCGTGCAAATTCGACTGTGATCCTGTCCACTTGTGGCTCACAAACAACTTTTCGAGCGGTTTGCAACAGGAGGGGACGTTGCGCCAGCCGTACTAGTCGTACACGCGAAAGATTCCGAGACATCCAATGCCCTATCTTCTCGACTGACTTCGGCGTTCTTTGTTGGCGTCGGTATGACGGGGAACCTAAACGAAAGCTACGCATATCAAAGTTACTTTTGGCAGTGTATCTGCTCGGTCATGGGGCACTGGTTGGCCGACATGGCGCATTCGTGTACAGTTTGCTGCCGACACTCGTTCGTCTCCGTGGGCGTGTCAACGGCCGACGGCGAGGACTACTGGGTAATGCCGTAGACCAGTGACATGGGGCTGGAGCCGGTAGCGCTATGTTTTAGGGATCAAGTAAAGCAGATGCGTTAGCCAACGTGGTGTTAATGGCAACCGTAGCCACTGGAGTTCGGATGGGGGGCCATGACCTGTATGTCTGCGTGGCTTTATGCCGCCGAACTGGTCGGTCAAAGAAATAAAGAAGGGAGCGGCCGTTTGTGAAACGGGAGAAGGACAAAGGTGCGCTCGGGCCGTCCAAGGGCGTTTTGTTCTATCCAAAACAGGCACCGGTTCAGCGGACTGGATGCGTATAGGACGTCGAGAGCCGAAACGGCGTCGCCGACCGGTCTATGACGTTTCTCCTGTCGGCTTGTGGTTGTAGGCCCACGTCATTACAGGACTTGGGCGGCTAGGTCGCCGTCGCTGCTAGGCGGCGCGGTGGCGAATGAAGGTGTGCCTAGTAAGGCTGTTTATTGTAAGTCGGTCTAGTCTCACGTATTTCTGCGTGGGGCTACGCGATGAGGGTGGTAGGTGTGCTCACCAGGCTGGTACCGTCGCTTGTGTCCCATTCTGCTATTTGGCCGCGTCTCAACGTACGAATGTACAGCAGCGCTGGGAGCATATCCCTCGCCTGTTCTACTTGCAAGCCCAGATCTCTCGGTCCGTGCTACCCTGACCTGGTCATTGGGTTATTGACGTCGACACACCAAGCTGGCCCTAGCTGTTCGAGGCCGCCTGGCTGCAAAGGCGGATGGGCGTCGTGAGAACTGGTCGCGAACGCCTCTCAGGTGGCTTTGTTCATGGAGCTTCCCGAGCAACTGCCTCAATCCCGCATGGTAGTCTGCCGATGACCGAACACAGTTGAAGTCAATCGGTCGTAGTGTTCTGGACCTCAAGTGCGAAGCCGGCCGGACTAGCGGTGGGTGCCGTCATGAGTAAATGGTGCGCATGAGCATTAAGATCCAGTCAAACCAGGACAGACGGACCCGTGAGGAGGGCGAACTGTGTGGGGCAATGGACGCTCCGCAGGTCTGCGTGATTTCTAGTGACGTCCAGAAATCATGGTTTCCCTCACTGTTTTGCCTGTTTCCACCGTTGTCTGGGGCGAGCGCGCAATGCAGGTAGTACAGGCTGAGGGTCAACTCGTGTCCTCCCGACTGCAGCGTAT